TGCAGATCAGCTGTTGAATATTTGCTTCTCTGGGTATGTCCAGATACGTCCATGGAAACATATTGTTTACAAGCCCAATTACCTTTTCCAGATTTCCAAATAAGATCAAATAGGTTATGCTGTGATTGATTTGTTTACATTAATTGTACAGACAAATAAGGTGCATGAAGTAGTAGACGGGAAATATTTTCTGCTTTTTATTTACCATTCTCTTAATTCATTAAAAGATAGAAACCCATGTTTTCAGATTATTGAACTAAATTTGAACAACGCCAACGGATGAGTAAAGGCGCCACGCGCAGTGTTGATAATCTATTTATATACCGAAACGATCTGCAACATGAACATGTGGTTGTGTTCACGAGTTTTAAAAAATTATAAACCCAAACAACAAAATTCAGTTATCCTTCCCCTGCTAATATCTGTGACGGAGGTGAATAATTGCCAGATAGATTAATTGATTCGAAAGAAATTACGCTTCCTACAGTCTCAGCAGCTAGTCGAGACGCTTTTTCATCGGGCATGTAACTCATTTTCACTCGCCAGTTGTAATCTGCCAGCTAAAATATATTAAAAATCACATACGTATAACTTGTCTCTTTAAATAACATTCACAAACGACGGATGCCAAAGTATCACAAGCAGAATTCACCAACAACGTTCGCAATCACGTAACGTTTCGCCGGCGGTGACGCCATTGTGATTTGCCAGTGGTTGTCCCCCCTAACGTCAAAAACGAAGTGGGCGGGGCTTATCGGCCGGGACTGGATCGGTCTATAACAGAGATGAAGGATACTACATTCCCAATGCCTACCATCACTTGATGAAGTAATCAATATATTTCTTGTGTACATTACCTGTTTCATTCCAACTATGTACATCAACCCCATCCTTTGTATAAACATCCACCTGGTTTCCTATCAGTTGTATACGCTCTAATTCAGTCCTTGTATGTCACCCTACTGGCTTCCTATCGATTTACTCAATCTCTCATACAAACGTTGTACATCAACCTCATCTATTGTATAAACAACTCATTCCCTATCTACTGTAACAACAACTCCTGTATATATTCTCTCAATTTGTTACTCATGTATCACTTGCTTGACAACGACATTAGAACCTATGTCGAAACGTCGCCTCCACAGAATAAAAGAAGTTGTATATCCATAATAATTGTCATTATTCTTCATCAACTCAACTTCTAAAATGCCCATCAAAGTCTCCCTTTTATCCTTAATTACAATGACGTCACAATGGAAATGCACCCGCTGCAGTGACCATGCGAGAGATTCGTAAACAAAGATCGCGGCACCCATAAAACAACCTGTCATCCCTACGCTGTTTGACGATTCTAACAACTAAAGGGCTTACGCACATATTTTATTCTGACAGTAAGGTAATAAACGTATTCTCTATATACCCGAGAACTAGTTTAATGACATACAATCGCTTCCTAATGTCATAGGGGCGGTGTGGTAGCCTAGTGGTTAAAGCGTTGGCTCGTCATGCCGAAGACCCGGGTTCGATTCCACATGGGCACAATGTATGGATCCATTTCTGGATTCGCCGTGGAATATTGCTAAAAGCGGCGTAAAACTAAACTCAGTCAGTCAGTCCTAATGTCATAATATAAACTAGTACTCTACCGGAAGTATGATGGACAGTTACGTGCAGAATGACGTCATGACCAGTACGTTTTAGAATAAGCTAATGATATGCGCTTCAGTATTTTCGAAAACATCCCAACCGATTCTAGATTCATCGGCAACGTTTCAGAATTATCACAAGCGATTTCATGTAAAACTGATATCAGTGATCATTGATATGCTATTTTTGAAATTCAATACTCCCAGTAATTATCCGATTTTCACTTTTCAAAACATACAGCAAATAACGCAGTGAATCGCGATTTCGTACTGTGTCAAAAATGGCGACATGAAAGGTCATTTTCAGCACTTGAGCTTTGTCTAAAATAATGGTGGATGGTATCAAGAAACAGGAAATTTCCCACAGAATTCGAAATTGTGAAGTGTATTTGTGTGCGTGGGATATTTTGATTTTTATTGGACTTCAAATTGCGGGTTGAAGGGGAAGGACATATATGTCCCTGTGGCACCCAGGGGTTAATGTATTTCCATATGTATAGACGGTGTCTTCGCAGGAAGGCGACTTTTTTGAGCGTGTAAAAACATGGGCAGTTTTTCGCTTTCGCCTTCGTGCGAAAAGGGTGGATATTTGCAACAATGAGTTCGGGTGTTTGTTTATACAAGAAACCTAATCCCAGAGGAAGGCGACAACCACAAGACGTTCATGTTCATTTTATTCATACATATGTACAAAATAACAATTTATCATCGTATCATTTTATCATTTCACTTGCTAATTTATTTTCTTCATCATTAAAATATGTACAAAGGGTCTACTCCCATGCTAATTTTTTTGTGAGAACTCCCAGTTGTGAGACTCCCAGTTGTGAGACTCCCAGTTATGAGACAGTGGAGAAGGTAATTAACAACGAAAACACACCATACTCCCCTGTCTGATAGAATGGATTAACCCTAGCTATTTACTGATTTGCTATGTAACTGAATCTTGTGGAGGTTACTTAATGAAACTTTATGAGATAAATTGATTAACATACTCATGTAAATGTCTTTAATAATTAAACACTTTGTGTAGGTAACTTCGTGATCAAAGAGAAATTAATTTACCTACTCAGATTTTCACCGTCTCCGAAACTACAAGCTATAGTTTAAGAAATAACTATGAAATACAAGAAATTTCCAGTCGAACTGCCTCTCATGCCAAACGCTTTCTACCCGACACAATAAATTTATAGAATGCCCTGCCAAATTCCAAAGAGTCATGCAGTCTCAAAGAATTTTAAAACCTAATCACAAAAAAACGAAAAAAGATTTATATTGATCTTAATTATGGCTCTTGTTTTTGTCAAATCGTTCACTGCCGCCTCAGGCTCCGATCTAGCGATCCAATCGCCGATAAGTATAACAGACATTTAATTGACAGTGCAGCTGCTCTTTGTGGATATCAACTACCCGTTATAACCTGATAATATTTTGAACGGAAACAAAGAATTTACTCCTTGTGTAAAACCAGAATATATTTGAATCGTCCACGATTATATCATCATCAAGACACAGCTTCAAATTTTCCCAGGGAAATGCTTAAATTAACTCAACAACTTTCTCGTGATTGATTTATATTCCTAAAATAGCTTGTTAGACAATAATAATAACTGTAAGTCTCTAATTATGACTACTTAGAGAATAGTTGCATTTGATGTAATCTGTATATATTTATATGTATTTAAAAATATATTTTTGCAATAGTCAATATCGATGACGTCACATCCTCCATTTCGCTTTATATTTTATGATGCATGGGAGCGGTGTTAACATGAGCAGTAATACTTCACCAATCCCAATTCATTTTCATAAATAATAATAAAATATGTTCAAACTAAAATTACTTTCAAACTTCATGATAGTCAATAAATATGTGTTATTCTTCTGAATCAATAAAGTGTTTATTGAACTATTTCTTCTGTGTAAATATAATCTTTGAAAATCTATTTCATTAGTCAACTCATCAATGAACTATGCCTCCTGTGGGTGCTGGGCTGGGCTGATCCCACTTTCATTGTAGGGATGTGGAAACACCACCTACGTGTACTGAACCATTAATTAATGTGTCTCACAACTGGGAGTTCTCACAAATAAGAGGACACCGTACAAAGTATCATCTAACATGCTACTTTTATTTCTTAATCATTAAAATATGTACAAAGCATCAATTCGAAGTCCATCTGTGATATTTGCTAAGTATCTTATCTTATATTTGTAAGTACGTATTGATTACCTGGACGCATTCTGGAATTAGAGGGAAACCCCTAGTCGCCGCTGCATCCGTCACAAGTGAGAAAGCTCGTTCGTAGGTACAGTCCGTTTGAGTCAGTGTATCCCGTGCACGACGAGATAGTGGCTGTTCCGTTTCTGCGGTTTCACCCCGCCGCGACAGATAACAACTTTTGCGTTTTCAATGATGATAGTTTCTTAAACAACTTTTTTGGGTGGAGTCCGGAAAATTTTCAAAAATCAGAAAGCTGTTGGGTATTAGTAAATGATAAACATGTGTACTATTTATATTTATGTGGCAATTTTGTACAATGAACAAATTTGCAATTCATCGGTCCGTTTCTGACTCAAACGGACTATAGTCTGTTTCTTGTCTGGAAAAGTAAGAACACTAGTGGCGCCATCTATCCGTTGACCTGAGCATGTAGGGGGTACCCGGAAGGATGGAACTACGTAGAAAGTTCCATCGCCGTATATGGTGTCAACAGCAGAGAGATAGAAATACTTGTACTGTAGCTGTTCATTCGCCATGTGTCAGAAATCGAGTTAAGATGACTCTTGTATCGGCATATTTATGTAATACTGTTGACGTCGTTTTATGCGATTGATACGAACTCTTATGATAACCCATCAATTGTAAATAACAGTTCGACAAAAACTGTTCACGAAATCAGTGTCAGCATGAACCACCCATGAACTGTGTTCACGTATAAATTAGTACAAATTTAGTCGCCACCCGTACGCTAATCCCCTGTTAATCTCCCAGTAAGCCCTTACATAAACATCAGAGGGTACCGTGTTTCGCCTTGGTGCGAAAAGCTGAAACTAAAATGTCGCCTTCCTGCGAATGAACCCTATAGACTCAGTTTATGAATTAAGTAGAATATTGTTAACGTCAATTTACTTTTGCAAAGTTAAGCTCAAAGCTGAGTTGAATTTCTTTCGGAAATTAGGAACAGGGTCGCGATCCACAAAACGCTCCTAGCACTACGACATTTGTAAGCCTATGATAGACTATAGAGTTACGCTTTGTGGATCGAGACCCGGAATGCGACAACGTGACGTCATAATCACCCTGCGTCATCGCTTTCATTTGTGACGTCAAGACAATAGACATCGACAGTCTGCAGCCACACGTTCCGACTGACGTGCCGATTGTGTCTGAAAGAAAACAACCATGAGCGAGAGGAGGAAGGTGAGGGCGCAGTCCATCATCAAGGGTCTCGGCGTTCCATCTACCAATGACTCGGGGATGGGGGCCAAGAAAAAATCACTCTCCCGCATCAGCAGCAGTGTATCCCAGTCCGACACAGGTTAGCCTTCATCGATATTTTATCAAATGACCTCTTAGCTGTTTTTATCATTCGTTTGATTTGCAGTTAATAAATATCTTAAGTTAGCGATAGTATATAACAGCCCCAGTCTGACACAGGTTAGCCTTCATCGATATTTTATCAAATGACCTCTTAGCTGTTTTTATCATTCGTTTGATTTGCAGTTAATAAATATCTTAAGTTAGCGATAGTATATAACAGCCCCAGTCTGACACAGGTTAGCCCTGAGAGGGTACGTAAGTCCAAAAACATTCAAAGTAAATTAAAACTTTCCACTTTTTTAATCGTAGAATACGTGTCTTTTTAATATATGGCTAGATTTGCTGAATTGCTGACGGCTGAAGGGATGATGTAAATCCAGCTATAGGGTCCATGCAGGAAGCAAATGTACTGTAAGTCCCGATGGTCACTAGTATAAACAATAAACAATAAACAATAAACAATTAATTAATTCATTCATTCATTCAGTATGGTGATCTATCTTCAGTCGTTGGCAATCTATAGCCTGGTTTTTTATTGTATTGTCATTTATAGTTCCAGTATTTTAGATTTAATTACTAGATTTAAATGAATATCTGTGATATACTAGTAGTTTTACTGTTCTACGTCAACAGGTTTTTAATCTCTAACTTTATTGATCTTCAATATAATTATAATTTGTTCTCGTCACGATATGGCTGAAATAATGCCGATATGACGTTAAATATTAACTCACTAACTCACTCACAGGTTAGCCATCATGGGTATTTTATCATATAACCTCTTAGCTGATTTTAGCATTCGTTTGATTTGCAGTTAGATCATAAGTTAGAGATATTACATAACGGCAGTCTTTTCCAGTTTGACATGTGGATATTTAATCACATGAAACTATACATAACAGCTGATTTTATCATTCGTTTGATTTGCAGTTAGATCATAAGTTAGAGATATTACATAACGGCAGTCTTTTCCAGTTTGACATGTGGATATTTAATCACATGAAACTATACATAACAGCTGATTTTATCATTTGTTTGATTTGCAGTTAGATCATAAGTTAGAGATATTACATAACGGCAGTCTTTTCCAGTTTGACATGTGGATATTTAATCACATGAAACTATACATAACAGCTGATTTTATCATTTGTTTGATTTTCAGTTAATAAATAGCCGCCATATAGATGGAATATTGCTGAGTATGGCGTAAAACTAAACTCACTCACTCAGTTAATAAATATCTTAAGCTAGCGATGTTATATAACAGCAGTCTGTTCCAGTTTTACCATGTGTTTGATTTTCAAATTAAAATATCTGAAGTTAACGATATCAAATAACAGCAGTGTCCCAGTCTGATATAGGTTGGCCATCGTGGATATTTTATCATATGAAACTATACCTCTCAGCTGATTTTATCATGTGTTTCATTTTTAATTAGTTGGCGAGAATGTACTACACCGGACACCTTCCGCCATATTATATTATTCGCAGCTTTGGTCAATTTATTTTATTTATTAGGGTTATTTTGAGGGGTTTAGGGTTTAAGTCTTGGGTAAGGCACCTAATCACATGTGGTAGGTAGGTGTCGGGTGTAAAGCATGTGTACCGAAAATATCTGAAGTTTCTGATATTATATGAAACTGTACCTCCAGTTGATTTAATCATATGTTTCATTTTCAATTAGAAAATATCTGATATCGATATGATAAAATAGCAGTTTTCCAGTCTGACACGCTCTAATAAGCGACGAAACGTTTAAACGCTCAAACAGTAGTAGTTTGGTTAACGCCGCACTCAGCAATATTCCAGCTATATGGCGGCGGTCGGTAAATAGTCGAGTCTGGACCAGACAATCCAGTGATCAACATCATGAGCATCCATCTACGCAATTGGGATACGATGACATATGTCAACCTAGTCAACGAATCTGACCACCCGACCTCGTTACAAACTCGGTATACTTTCTATGATCTTTGAAATTTAGAATATGTAGCGTTTGGTATATGGTCGCCAGCATGGCTGTACCTCAGCGTGTTGAATATTTGCCATTAAGCAATACATGCCTGTAAACTCTCTTTCACTTCAGGGGCGGTGGGGTAGCCTAGTGGTTAAAGTGTTCGTTCGTTCGTCACGCCGAAGTCCCGAGTTCGATTCCCCGCATGGGTACAATGTATGCAGCCAATTTCTGGTGTCCCCCGCCGTGATATTGCTGGAATATTTCTAAAGGGGGCGTAAAAGTATACTCGCTCAATGCACTGCACGGGGGAAAAGCACATTTATTACTATGACATGTATTACTATGTTATTTATTACTATATGATATATATCTACGTTATATATTTATGCTGCGCAACAATACGCGATATATCGACTCTTGAATAAGTGAGTGAGTTAGTTTAGTTTTACACTGTACTCAGCAATATTCCAGCTATATGGCGGGATTCTTGAATAAAAACAACTGAATGCAAAAAAATGTGTGTATTGTAAGCATAAAACTTGACCTGGGTTCTGAAATCTTCCTTGTTAGTATGTAATGCATTCATTGATAAACACCCATAGAGAGAGAGAGAGAGAGAGAGAGAGAGAGAGAGAGGAGAGAGAGAGCTCAGGAATAGGCACTTGTCACGGCAAGGGACACCAGATATAGTTTCCTACAAGTATCACACATTCTTTTACTTCGGTTTTTCTTCCCCCATTAATCTGACACTCCCGGAGGGATTAAACTTGAATACAACTCAAACCCAATTCACTCACTAACTTATACCCAGGGCGAGGAAAAGGAAGGAGGAAGAAGGATGCCCACATGGAGGAGGCTGATGAGGCCGCTATGGCTGAACAACTCAGGAAAGCTGAGTGGGAACAAATGCTGGCCAAATTAAAAGCTTCTGCTGGTTTGGAAAAGGTAAGTATCTTGAATTCATATTGCAAAAAGACCCGTGAATAGCCATACTTAAAATGTTTTTCAAGAACCCATGCTTGACCAAGGTGGCGAAATACAGGGTAGGGTGGTCAGGCTCGCTGACTTATCAATACATGTCATTGGACTGTTTGGTCCAGACTCTATTATTTACAGATCACCGCCAGTTGGGATATTGCTGACTGCTGTGTTAAGCAACAATCCACCGAACAAACATCTCGATAAGAAAAGCAAAGATCGTTCAAGGTTCAGTTTATCTTTGTCATATGTAAAGATGCATATCCAAAGATCTGATTTTGAACAGATTGTCCTCATGTGTGTTTTCAGCTGAGAGAAGAGATGGTCCGTCAAGATGCCACGCAGGAGAAGAAGGAGAAGGTGGTCAGTTTCACAGTGAAGAAGAAAAACCCTAACTACAGGAGGAGGTCAGTCTAGACTGCCACTCGGCACATTGGGCCCAGTACAGTAGTTGCCCCGACATTGTCGACTGACAACTGTCATACGTCATAATAGTTTCTTTATATATAATTAAATTAGGGTCAATACAAGAGTTGTCCTACTATTGTCAACTGTCATAGGTTATAATAGTTTCATTGCAGTAGTTGCCCTAACATCGTCAACTGCCATTCTTTAAATGTGGGCCAGTGCGAGAGTTGCCCTAACATTTTCTTCTGAAATACTTCAAATTTGGGCCAATGCAGGAGTTGCCCTTACATTGTCAACTGTCATACTTGAAATTTGGCCCATTGCAGTAGTTGCCCTAACTTTGTCATCTGTAATACTTGAAATTTGGGCCAACGCAGTAGTTGCCCTAACATAGTCACCTCTCTTGATTTACATTAGGCGCCCTGCAGTAGTTGCACTTCAACTGGTACAATGACGTACCTCGAATTCAAATTATATCCATTGCTTTAGGTGCGTTGCGTATGTCATATGAAATTATAATTACATTCATTGCCGAAATAGCGTGCAAACAGATTCGTAACTGTAGTTGCCTGAAGTTTGTTTATGTTTCTTTGTTGTTTAACGCCGCACCCAGCAATATTCCAGCTATATGGCGGTGGTCTGTAAATAATCGAGTCTGGACCAGACAATCCAGTGATCAACATCATGAGCAGCGATCTACGCAATTGGGATACGATGACATGTGTCAACCAAGTCAGCGAGTCTGACCACCCGATCCCGTTAGTCGCCTCTTGCGACAAGCATGGGTTACTGAAGGCCAATTCTTGCCCTGATCTTCTAGTAATTGCGCTAAGACTTGCGCCACAAAGACTCACGACACTCGCAAAACTCATACATTAATAAACCCGGATCACAGCGACAATCAAACCTTTCAAACTTACACACGAGCTTAAAACATACGTTTGTACATATTGTCACATATTGTACCCATGACGGGAATTGAACACGGGTCTTCGGTGTGACTGGCAAACACTTTCACCTCTGCCCCAAGTAGTAATGGCCAAAATGTAAAATAATACATATATTATCCATTATTACTTGAAGAAATCAGGTGATCTTTAATTTCTTTGGAGTTGTATCTATCGTCTTAGGTATTCTACATAATAATGAAATAACTTGATTAACATCTATGTTCACACTTCCCAGAATGACTGTAGCAGTGGCGGTGCCAGCCCCGAGCGACGTCGAGGCGGTTCCGCTCACGCTGCCAGGTACGTCGTAGTGCATGATAGTAGCTCACCAGCACCTAAAGTACAGGTAAGCTTTGGTATTTGGGGGGATTTGGTTCGATGTCAGTCTATCCCTGAGTCTGTGCTTTAGTTGGCACCACCGGAAGTCCAGACTTACTTGTTGAACCATCCTGGAGTAGAACTTGTCTTCTTGTCAACAGAGTCAAAACCAGACTTAGAACTGTCAGGACGAGAACCAGGCAGGGGTGGAAATACTTTAAAATTGCTAGTGTACTCCGGTACAGTGGCACATGTAAAATCACTTGCCCTGATAATTTTTCCACTGTACCGGTCGTTTTCTTGTTGATTTTTAAAATAAACAACATAATTAACGTCGGAAAGTCAACTGGACACCGGTACAGTGTGATATACAAATTTGCTTGCCCGACAGAAAAAACCACTGGACTCGGACGTCGGGCAATGGGTTATTTCCACCCCTGCCAGGGGGATATTTACTGTACTTCTCACATCTATAACCGTGACAACCTATGACCAGAAATTATTTTTGATTGGTTTGTGAAGACCAGTTATCAAGTGCTTGGTTTCATTCAAGTTTCCGTTGATCCTTTTGATTAGTTTGTAACCCTTTGCCCTAAACTAAAACCATATAGGAAAGTCAATAATAATCATCAACCAAAGTAGAATCCTGGTGTAGCCCAAATAGACCCTAACATACACTGCTTCTTTAAAAACCAACTGCCTCAAAGTGTCAAGCTCACCATTGACACTACATATAAAACAAAGTTTCGATTTTCAAACTTGACAAAAGTAGAACCGTTGCTTATATTAGGAGACCAAATCTTTGGCCAGAACGTTTCATGGGCCAATTCATAAGCCTTCAGATCTGCAGACTTAACAACCTGATAATCAGAACTTCCTGAGCCACTTCCCTGACCAGTTTCATGCAGCCAGTTAGTTTGTCTCACAGTCCCCAAACCACATTATTTTCCCTTCTGCCAAGCCCTCTCTGCAATGCTAAAGTCCTAAATGAAGCAAGTCCAGATTTCTTCAGGCTCTGAATCTCTGGTCTCCTTGGGGCACCTTTTCAATTTATATGGGTTGGTTTCTTACTATCCAAATTATTAGGGGTGGGTATTGCAGAGAATTTTAATATTGCGATGCGAAAGCATATATTTAGGGGATAACTGTACTGGTTATATAGCCGGCAGTTAGCCCTGTGCGAGGATTCTTAATTTAGGTCACCGACACCGTCGTTTGTTTCTGCCTTAAATTAATCGTAATTTTTCCTCACAAAGTATTAAATTTGGCATCTCATAAAAGAAATACAGTTCGCTCTACCACCATGTATAGTGTAATAAAGCACACTTTCGCCCTTAACTATTATAACGTTAAAGCACCTCGGACGCAAGCGTCTTCGTACTTTAACTATAATAGTTCAGGGCAAAAGTGTGCTTTATTACACTATACATGGTGGTAGAGCGAACTGTATTTCTTAAGTACTGCAATATGTTACAAGAATTTGTTCTAAAAAAACCCCACCCCTACTTATAATCGAGTTAATGCTTGAGCTATAAAGCAAAAACACAACAAAATCACTATGTTTGATTAAGCTTTAATAAAAACTTTTAATCATGTCAAAATAAATAATATTTGGCACAAATGAAACAAGGAAAAGAACTTGATCACTGGTCATTAATGACTAAATATTTATAACATTCAGATCCAAAACATTTCGAAACACTTCAAACTGAACTTAACTTGACTTCCGGTGTGAAAAACGGAAATACCCGAAGATTTCCGACTGTTACGAGGTTTTCCGAATGCATGTCGAAATACCGGTTTTCGATCAGCGTAACGCAATGCGTATTGATTTCATGCCTGAACCGGTAAATCGGTTATATTGCGCAGCCCTAAAATTATATATATCCAGAGACTAAGCGTTAGTCTAGCGGCCAGTCATCACTGTGCCGGAGTGTGTTCCCCAGCTCAGAGACCATATCCTTAAACGCACAGCGATCTCTAAGTTATCAACTCTGGACTAGATAATCTAGTGACTGACATCAGGAGCATCTATATTCGGGCAGAAGTGACGCGATGACATGATATCAACTAAGCTGCTGAACTTAACCACCTGATCAAGTTCATGGCCTTTTAGGAAAAGTTTACTGAGGAACTACATGTAGTTCCTTACCAGGAAACCCCATGTTGGCGGGCTTTGCTTTACAATGTTAAAATTAACTGTAAAATTAACTGTATTGACACGTTGTCATCACAGTGTATTGCAACTCTTTTCTTTCATAGTGAGTGAGTGTAGTTTTACATCGCTTTTAGCAATATTCCAGTAATATCATGGCAGGGGACACCAGAAATGGGCTTCACACATTGTATCCACGCCGGGAATCGAACCCGGGTCTTCGGCGTGACGAGCGAACCCTTTAACCACTAGGCTACCCCATCACCGCATAAATGCTTTCAAAAGCATCAGTCCAAACGTGAAATTTCATGAGATGTAATCTTTTGTTTCTCAGCGCATAAAGGTCCCCGGATGGATGAAAGTGGGCGTGTCGTACCGCACAGCATTCTGGGAAGTGTGGTGGAATATTCCGTGGAAGCCCAAAGGCAGGGAGCGATGCATGTGGTGACGTCACAGAAGGTAACCCCTAAAATATTGATGTGTGTACTTATATTGCTCTGACAACACAAGGTGTATGCTCAAAGCGCTAACATTATTACACGGATCAGTAGATACAACCCAAGCTGCCTGTGAGGCGCCAGAACGGTAACAGTCATATGACCATCTCAACAGATCATGTACCCATTCACTGCTGGCTGAATAGAGGCATATTATGAACGAAGACACTTGATTTAGCTGGGTTAAATGTGAGGTGAGGTGAACTTGGGTTTAACGTCGTACTTGAGAATATTTCGCTCATATGACGACGTGCATGCGTGTGTATGTGTATGTGCGGCTGCTTGTACTAGCCCAGGCTGAAGCTGGTTTTATAGTGCTAGCCCACTGAGGTGAGGTGAAATTGGGTTTAACGTCGTACTTGAGAATATTTCGCTCATATGACGACGTGCATGCCTGTGTACGTGTATGTGCGGCTGCTTGTACTAGCCCAGACTTAAGCTGGTTTTATAGTGCTAGCTCACTGAGATACCATGCCGCAGTGAAGCCTGAATACCCCACTCAGACACATTATACTGACTCCGAGCCGACCAATCCTTGTTGTACCCATTAATGCCGAGCGCCAGGCAGGGACCAACAAGTCCCATATTTTAACGTCTTTTGGTATGACCGAACCCGCGACCTCCCGCTCTCCGGGCGGACGCTCTAACCACTACACCACGGAGGCGGTTAGATTAAATGTGTGGAGCAGAACAGAAGTCTTAGAAACTCTGCCAAACACGGGGGCTGTGGGGTAGCCTAATGGTTAAAGCGTTGGCTCGTCACGCCGAAGACCCGGGTTCGAATCCCCACATGGGCACAATGTGATGTTGCTGGAATATTGCTAAAAGCGGCGTAAAACCCAAACTCAGTCAGTCAGTTTTCCAAACACAGCCAAGCTGCCAAACACGGCCAAACTGCCAAACCAACGTTGCTTAACTTCAACTGATTTGCGAAATGTACCAACACTCAACACTGTTATCTTTTTCCCAAATAAATGTTTTCTAGATGGTAAGATGGAAGGAATGGAATGATGGAAATGGATGGATGGAAGGATGGATGGATGGAGAGGAATGGACAGACGGACGAAAGGAAATGGAGGAATGGATGGAGATTTTGGAAGCGCCGGAAGGATGGAAGAGAGGAAGGAATGGATGGAAAAATGGACAAGGAAGATGAAATGGATGGGATGGAGGAGGAAGGATGGAAGGACAGGAAGGAGGGATGGAGGGACAGGAAGGAATGATGGAAGGAAGGATGGATGGATGGAAGGAATGGAGGAATGGAAGGAAGGAATGGAAGGATGGATGGATGGAGGGATCGATCTGATCTTGAAATTCGACTTTACGACGGAAAAAGCTGACGGATGAAATTTTGACGGGATGATGCGCTGACGCCGACGGATTTTGACGAGGATCCGGATGCGCCGAGCCTGACGGACTTTGACGTTTGATTTCCGACGACGGAAACGAAAAAGCCGGACGACGAAATGACGGAAAAGCGATTGATCGTGAAAAAGCGCTGACGGATTTGTTTTGTTTGATTTCGATGAAATGACGATGCGCCGATGATGAATTTTTGTGCCGACGGATGATGAAATTTTAGGGATCTGAGCGCTGACGCTGACCGGATGACGGTGCTGATTGATGACGGAAGCGCGGATGAGATGAAATGCCGACGATGAAATGACGCGCAAAAAGCGGCAAAAGTGATTTGAGATGAGCCGGAGCCGGATGATGAAAAAGCGATGGATGAAATGGATGTTTGAGCTGATGATGGACAGAAAGGATGATGGAAAAGATGGATGAAAATGGATGGAGAGGAACAGGCTTCTGGGCTCAGCCGGATGTTCTGGGGGAGAAGCACGTGGGGATATTGTGAGTACAGTTTAAGTAAGGACATGATCACGAGGACATGATCACGAGGACATGATCGCACTCTGAACATGCGCCTGACGTACCAGGAATGATATGAATCTTGTCTGTTGCTATATGCCCCTACGTTCTGATGTAACTACGACTCTACTACTACTACTACTACTACTACTACTACTACTACTACTACTACTACTACTACTACTACTACTACTACTTCCACCACTACTACTACTACTACTACTACTACAACTACTACTTCCACCACTACTACTTCTAATATTTATATTACTACTGCTGGTCTTGTTGCGAGTATTACTACTACTACTTTCAACTACCACTACGTGCTACTACCACGACTACTACTACTGCTGTTACTGCTACTACTACTACTACTACTACGGCTACGGCTACTACTACTACTATTGCTACGGCTACTACTACTACGACGACGATGACTACTACTACTACTACTGCTACGGCTACTACTACTACGACTACTACTACTGCTATGGCTACTACTACCACGACTACCACTACTACTACTACGGCTACTACTACAACGACTAATACTACTACTACTAAAACTACTACTACGGCTACTACTACCACGACTACCACTACTACTACTACTACTGCTACGGCTACTTCTACCACGACTACCACTACTACTACGGCTACTACTACCACGACTACTACTACAACTACTACTACTGCCACTACTACTACTTCAACTACTTGCTACTACTACGTCTACTACTTGCTACTGCTACTACTACTGCCACTACTACTACCACGCCTTCTACTACCACTACTACTACTACCACTACTACTACTACCACTACTACTACTGCTACTACTACCACTACTACTACTACTACCACTGCTACTACTACTACTACTACCACTACTACTACTACCACGACTACCACTACTACTACTACCACTACTACTACCATGACTACTACTACTACCACTACTACTACTACCACTGCTACTACTACCACGACTACCACTTCTACTACTACCACGACTACTACTGCTACTGCTACTGCTACTACTACTACTACTACAACACTATCACTACTTCTTTTTCTTCTTATTATTACTACAAACAAATACTTCATCATCATCAGCAGCAACAACAGCGTCTATGTAAACGCAACGGTACTCAAAGTAGATTGAGGCGGATTCCTTTCGGTGTGTTGAGCGTAGACTCTGATCGGACACTGAACGATTTCTTCAGTAAATTCAACGTTTCATTGTGTCGACAGTTCAAGCCTTACCCGGACAGAGAGAGGATGTGCGAAGGGAACCGAGTTTATGAGTGTACCAGAAGCTATTCAACTGGAGAAAGGTAACACCTTCATCACCATGTCGTCCCCGCATCGTCTCCATTGTTTTGAATTAGGTTTCAAAATTCAAGACCTCATTAAAGCTCTAAAAAAAGTTACAATGTTATATTTGGGATTACACTTTCCCAGCCAAGTATAGATTCTAGTACTTTCGTTGAGTTGAGTCCCATCCGAGATTCGAACCCACACCCTCAGAGTCAGGCACCTAATCGCCAGCACACAACGTCAGCCGTCTAACCCGTCCACAAAAAATGTAAGTCGGCCAACTGGTAGTCTAGACTGCAAACTTTGTGTACCCGTCTGATAAGTGTAAATTGGCACTGCTCCCTCTGCTGAAATCTATGATTACACAATGCCATTTAGAAAGTGATCAAATGTAACACATCATAGTAAAGAAAGTGTAATCCCAAATACAACATAGTGGGTGAGTGAGTTTAGTTTTACGCCGCACTCAGCAATATTCCAGCTATATGGCGGCGGTCTGTAAATAATCGAGTCGGGACCAGACAATCCAGTGATCAACAGCATCGATCCGCGCATTTGGGAACCGATGCCATTTGTCAACCAAGTCAGCGAGTCTGACCACCCGATCCCGGTAGTCGCCTCTTACTATAACATAGCAGTCAAGAGTACCAACTGTAACATGTGTTATATTTGGGATTACACTTTCTTTACTAAGAATATGCTACTTTGATCACTTTCTAAATGGTACTGGGGGCGGTTGGGTAGCCTAGCGGTTAAAGCGTTGGCTCGTCACGCCGAAGACCCGGGTTCGAATCCCCACATGGGCACAATGTGTGAAGCCCATTTCTGGTGTCCCCCGCCGTGATGTTGCTGGAATATTGCTAAAAGCGGCGTAAAACCAAAACTCAGTTAGTCAGTCAGTCTAAATGGTATTGTGTAGTCATATCTTTCGGCCGTGGGAGCTACTTGACGACGGAGGCAGTAAAACTCTATGTATTTTTTTAAAGAATTTAAAGGAATCATTGTTGCATCAATTAAACCAGTGTGTTTTTTCAGGTTATATCCCGCTCAAAACCAACAGAATCAAACTGGACCCCATTCTTGTTGTTCCCGTGAGTATTATTTGAGTATTGTTTGAGCATACTTTGAGTATGCATTACTAGTCCTCATCATATACAGACGTGAGAATGTATCTAAAAAAAACCCAAAACAGTTGATATTTGCATACAAATACATAGCGTTAACAAAACTTTCAAGATGTATAGGTTAGATTTGAGAATGAGTCGGCAGTATTTTCCCAACAAATCAGCTCTGGGCTGTTTACTAGTTATGAATAAATTCATATCAGTGTGATTTTGTTATTTTTAAAAAGTTTGAGCATGGAAGACATTTATAAAACCATTTTTTGTTGTAAAAATGTATATCAAACTATATCTATAAAAAAACTATATCAAAGGTATCTCTCGCTAGAATGAGTATTTTAACCGCCTCCGTGGTGTAGTCGTTAGAACGTCCGCCCGGAGAGCGGAAGGTCGCTGGTTCGATCCCCGACCGTGTCATACCAAAAGACGTTAAAATATGGTACTTGTTGGTCCCTGCCTGGCGCTCGGCATTAATGGGTACAACAAGGACTGGTCGGCTCGGAGTCAGTATAATGTGTCTGAGTGGGGTATTCATGCTTCACTGCGGCATGGTACCTCAGTGGGCTAGCACTATAAAACCAGCTTAAGTCTGGGCTAGTACAAGCAGCTGCACATACACACGCATGCACGTCGTCATATGAGCGAAATAATCTCAAGCACAACGTTATACCCCATTTCACCTCACACCACAATGAGTATTTTAGTGGTCTCAAATTCACACTAAACGGTAGATTGTCTCCCTTATGAAAATCAAAATTAACAAAGGCATTACTTTTGACAATGGAACTGTTTTACTGATTGTGTCTTAAATAAGCAGCGGTGGGGTAGCCTAGTGGTTAAAGCGTTGTTCGTGACGCCGAAGACCCGGGTTCGATTCCCAACATGGATACAATGTGTGAAGCCCATTTCTGGTGTACCCCTTCTTGATATTGCTGGAATATGGCTAAATGCGGAGTAAAACCCAACTCACGCTTAAATAAATATTTTTAACCGGATTTTTCAACTGTTTGTCTAAACCGAAGTTAAATGTACGGCGACGCGACATTGCCGCTTCGCGATTACATTTTCGCATTAATATAAAATGTTTGTTTTACATCTACAGAAGCTTCGAGAGATCTGTACAATAGGTCGCCCATTTAACGCCGCCACGGAGGTGAAGTGTCAACCACAGGCACGTCACTACACCCCACCAGCCTCACATGAGCCGTGAGTATCTTAATGAATAACAGACGCATGTGTATTTACGCTGTAGGCGTTTTAGCTAGCATAGGAGTAGGCACAATATCCATATGACGTAGGGGCGGATACAGCTTTTTGAGAAAGGGTGTGTGGGGTGTGCACACTATTGAGAAAAGGAGGGGTGCACACTTAATTTTCACCCGAGTTTCAATGGTCATTTAACAAACTTTCAACACGTGGGGGATGGGGTGGGGGTGGGGGGGTTGCGCACCCCTGCGACCCCCCTCTGGATCCGCCTATGTATATACATGGACCTTGAAATGTTTTACCGCCGTCCTCCGCCCGTTGTCGTCATTGACGTTGACGTCGGAGCTTGGACGATATGTTGTGAAATTACCAACGAAGCTGGAACGTTTACGATTGACGTAGTTTAGGAAGAGAGTGCCTGATGTGTAAGGAAGCCCACAAGTTTGACCGTATATCAGTGTCCTTGAAATATCCCGTCTAATTTGACCTTACTCTCAAATTCTTTACAGCTGAGGGTATAAGGAATTATCAACATCACTAAAAGAGCAGTGGAAATATTTTAGCGGAAAAATACTACATGACCTAACATTATAAATATTATTTTGTGTTTGAAATGTCAATATAAGTATTTAATTCCTCTAGTCAAAGGCTCATTGTTATATCTGAATAAAATTTGTAATATATAAGTATTTATAATATTTATTATCCATATGGTGAAACATAACCAGTGTCATATAAATCACATGTGCACACATCACTTCCGCCTAGCAACCATGGTTTCTGTGTTTCGTGGTCTGTGACGTCATTAAACAATTGAACGTGTTTTACAGCACAAATGTACATGAATAAAATGGATTATAAAGATATTATTACACTCGAGCAAGTGTGTCATGATTTATACGTACAAAATTTCACACCCATTTCTAATAAGTCGTATGCCACACTTGCTCGTGTAATAATCTATATATATGTACACATATATCAAGACGTTAATCGTAGTTTTAGAATAAACATAGAATTGTTTTAGTTAATATTAATAAACAAGGTCGGATTCAGGACATTCACAAAAATTAGTAATGACATAAACACATTTATTTATCTTTATAAATATTAACTCATTTCATAAGTACGACATTTCAATGTAGACAAATTGGCAAAGCTTAGGAAGATAATATTTGTATACATGTATATGTTATCATAGGCGGATCCAGAGGGGGGGGTTTGCAGGGGTGCCCCCCCCCTTGTCCTGAAAGTTTATTAAATGACCCGTGAAAACGAGTGAAAATGAAGTGTTCACCCTCCTGTTTTGGTCCAGTGCACAGATTAACTACATGCTGTCACCTGCGTCTACTTAATGGATTCGCCCATCAGAATACAAACAAAACATATATAACATTTTTGATGCTGCAGTTCATGATGGTTTTCATAGTAAATACTTTGCCTTCACAAAATATAAATTTGCAGTCTTCAGTTATGATTGAACAGGTACCAAGCTGCTTCAATAAGTAGCCAACTGCATCGAAGTACTGGATTGCAGTCTATAACAATATTATTTTAACTTAAAAACTCATTCGTTTATATTTCATCTTTACTCCAATATACTAAGCTTGGCTTGTTTGTTTTTTCTATCATATGAATACAAGAACATTCACTAACTACAGCATACCCTTCTCTCTTGTCCTTTACTTTCTGGTTATTAGATTATCTCTACAACAACATAATTACTGGTCTGTAGTTCTTCTGGGAGAGCTGATGGGCTATGCTCATTACATACCATGGGGGTGCCTCTACTCAGATAATTAATCCCTAATTAATCCGTGTAGTTAATTTGGGATGTAGTTCAAATGGGATGTAGTTCTTATGGGAGTAAACCACCCTGGTTATCTCCTTACAGGACAACGAAAGAGACGGCCAGAACTTTCCCAAGTCTTATATTTGGCGGCCACAGTGTCACGTGGAGCGATGACGTCATCGACGAAACTGTTGTCAAGGCGGAACTAGGATTAGACTGTTTTGCAGGAGACAGACAAGACGCTCACCTGGCAGTGACCAACACTGGATTAACACTTGCTTATGACTGGAAGGTATACAACTTGATTATATGGTTGACAATATCCGGATATTCCCAAGTTCAATTGACTTTAAAATTGTAAAGATTAAAACAAAACCGTCCTATTTCAACACGTTCATCAGACCTGATGGCGTGGAGAGAGTCTAGCCAAGTGGTTAAAGCGTTCGCTTGCACCGTTGGAACCAATGTTTGAATCCACTGTTTGTGTGAAGCCCATTCTCGATATCCCCGAAGCTGTTTTGGCAACTGCAGTGTAGAATTGTCTTCTCTCATTTATTCCTGGAATGGCCTTCGCAATATTTTTCGGAAAGTACCAAATTTGGCAGACTGACATTTAGTGCCAGATATTTCTTATTTAAGAATGTAGATCTACAAAATGATATAATCCTAAGGGCAGCCCAGAATAATTGTTAATTTCATGTCGGAAGCCATCTGGACTTGCATAATCATTCTAGCACCCGTGAAAGTCCGGGTTAGAATTGGTCTGCATCAACCCATGTTATCGTAAGAGGCGGCTAACGGGATCGCGTGGTCAGTCTCGCTGACTTGGTCGACACATGTCGTTGATCTTTACAGACCACCGGAGTATAGCTTGCATATTGTTGACTGCAGCGTGAAATAAGAAAGAAAGAATACTTCTAGACTTGAAACTTCCATGTTTATTGTATTCTCAAGGGTCTTGGTTGGTTGGTTCGTTTGTTGTTTTACAACACATTCAGCAATATTCCAGCTATATGACCGCGGTCTGTTAATAATTGAATCTGGACCAGACAATCCAGTGATCAACAGCATGAGCATCGCTCTTCGCAATTGGGAACCGATGAGATGTGTCAACCAAGTCAGCGAGCCTGACCACCGGATCCCTTAGTGGCCTTTTACGACAAGAATGGGTTACTGAAGGCCAATTCTAACCCGGACCTTCAAGGGTATCATGACTTAGACAAATATTAGTGAATGTTTATATTTATTTTCACTAACTTTAGATATGAACAATAGGTAGACCAGAAAAGGGCCTAAAGGAACTCACAGGTACAAAGATCTGGGAGACTGAGTGCCAGTTGGTATATTTCTGAGGTACTTCATCAAACACCTGACCTTGTGATGACAACGATAACGATAACGATAACGTGATGATGTGTTGTTGATATGTGTTTCAGAAACTGCAGACGGAGGATCCCTTTGGATTCAAGAAAGACGCTGTCCAGAGGTTTTACTTTGATCACAGTTATGGTAAGTTATACATGTACGTGACCCGTAAAGGTCCGGGTTAGAATATTGGTCTTCAGTTACCCATGCTTGTCGTAAGAGGCGACTAACGGGATCGGGTGGTCAGGCTCGCTGACTTGGTTGACACATGTCATCGGTTCCCAATTGCGCAGATCGATGCTCATGCTATTGATCACTGGATTGTCTGGTCCCGACTCGATTAGTTACAGACCGCCGCCATATAGCTGGAATATTGTTGAGTGCGGCGTAAAACTAAACTCAATTATACACGAACGTAAAGCACACTGGCCACATCTATCTCATCCTGTTACTGAAAGTATGTGTTGTTCTCTTCCACCCATTTCTCTATCGGCGTCTGTACTTCCCATACGTTCATCCATCAATCCTTCCTTACTTGCATCCATCCTTACTTTCATCGATCCTTCCTCACTTTCTTCCATCCTTTCATCCATCAATCCTTCCTTACTTTCATCCATTGTTCCTTCCTTACTTTCATCCATCAATCCTGCCTTACTTTTATCCATCCTTCCTTATTTTCATCCACCAATCCGTCCTCACTTTCATCCATCCTTTCATCCATCAATTCTTCCTTACTTTCATTTATCCTTACTTCCTTACTTTCATCCATCCTTCCTTACTTTCATCAATCCTTCCTTACTTTCATGAATCCTTCCTTGCTTTCATCAATCTTTCCTTACTTTCATCCATCCTTCCTTACTTTCATCCATCAATCCATGCTTACTTTCATCCATCCTTTCATCCATCCTTCCATCCATCCATCCACTCTTCCTTCCTTCCCTCCTCCCTCCGTCCACCAATCCATGTAACAGAATATCCCCCTGTGCAGGTATCATACTCCCCGGCGAGACAAAGCACATAGCTGCCTCCTTCAAGAGCCCTGGACCAGGGGTGTACACGGAGACGTGGGCGTTCGAGACCAACCCCCGGCTGTGTGGGGGAAGGCGTGTCCTCCTGACACTGTGGGGCATAGCCCGAGATAGAGACGTCAACAGGCACGGGAGAGACACCATTGAGGTGAGACCGCTCTCTTCGTTCTGGGAAACACAAGGCTTCGTTAAACATGTACAGTATAAACAACGGTTATGACGAACTGAATGGAACCACTAATTGTAGTTCATTTTAACCATAGTTCGTTATATGCATTTTGACTACAATCTACAGCAAAAGGCCTTGGCCTAGATTTTCGAAGCTCTTTTAGCACTATGATAGTCGAAAGTGTCATACATTAACATTAACTTACGACTATCTTAGCGCTAAGGGAGCTTCGAAAATCTGGGCCCAGAGTAGGTCCAGGAAAAATCATAGTTCGTTTAAACGCAGTTTGACTGGAATATACAACAAATGGCCGCGGTAGATAAAGTTTGTTATATCTGTCAGTTCGTTATAACTGTCAGTTCGTTACATCCGTCACTTCGTTATATCAGTCAGTTCGTTGTATACGTCAGTTCGTTACATCCGTCAGTTCGTTACATCCGTCAGTTCGCAACTCCGTCAGTTCGTTATATCTGTCAGTTCGTTACATCCATCGGTTCGTTATATCCATCAGTTCGTTACATCCGTCAGTTCGTTATATTTGTCAGTTTGTTGTATCCGTCAGTTCGTTATATCCATCAGTTCGTTATATCTGTCAGTTCGTTACATCCGTCAGTTCGTTATATCCGTGAGTTCGTTATATCCATCTGTTCATTATATCTGACAGTTCGTTACATCCGTCAGTTCGTTACATCCGTCACTTCGTTATATCCATCAGTTCGTTATATCCGTCAGTTCGTTAAATCTGTCAGTTCGTTACATCCGTCAGTTCGTTATATCCGTGAGTTCGTTATATCCATCAGTTCATTATATCTGACAGTTCGTTACATCCGTCAGTTCGTTACATCCGTCACTTCGTTATATCCATCAGTTCGTTATATCCGTCAGTTCGTTACATCCGTCAGTTCGTTATATCCATCAGTTCGTTTTATCCGTCAGTTCGTTAAATCTGTCAGTTCGTTATATCTGTCAGTTCGTTGTATACGTCAGTTCGTTATATCCATCAGTTCGTTATATCTGTCAGCTCGTTATATCCGTCAGTTCGGTATATCCGTCAGTTCGGTATATCCGTGTCCGTTGTAAACGTAGTCTACTGTAGTATATGTGATGCGCGAGGCGTTCTAACAGAGCTGCAGATAATCTGTATATTTGTATTAGATAAGCAAATAATATCATCACTCCCCACTTAATTTTGTATTACTTGCGGGCACGTATGACAACAAAACCGTTACCTCCAAGAAGGTAATCGGCTTGTCCCCGAAACAACACAAGTATGTCACGAATGGATTGTGTATGCTTGTGAGCACGTGTGTGTGTATGCAGGTGTTTGTGTGTGCGCGTGTGCGTGCGTGTGTATGAACTAATACTGCTTTATTGTTCAAGCTTACTCAGACAGAATGTCGATTGGACATCGATACCCCACTCAGACCCAGTTTACCGATTCGACCAGCCACTGTTGTATTCAATTAGTACGAGTGTCAAACTGTCAAACAATAATTGGTCTCTTTGGCCATCTTTTGGTATGAAGCTACCGAGGATCGAACCATCTACCTTCTTCTCACCAACAGACACTCTCTCCACTAGACCCCAGAGGCGATGTAGACAAAGCAAACGCGTTAAGGATAGTTCAATTCCAAAATTTCGAATGCTAGTTATTCGTGAATGCCATGTAAAAGTGAGTGAGTTGGGTTTTACGCCACTTTTCCCAATATCCCAGGGCATTCCAGAAACCGGCTCCACATATTGTACCCATGTATGGAATTGAACCCAGGCATTCGGTGTGACGAGCGAATGCTATAACCACTTGGCTACCCTACCTCCCGTGATGTCATCACGAAAATTTGAATGACAGTTTAACTATCTTTGTAACAGTGTGCCATTGAGACAATACAGTGAGAGAATCTAGTCTGACAATCCAGTGAGACATTCCAGTGTGACAATCCAGTGAGAGAATCCAGTGAGACATTCCAGTGTGACAATCCAGTGAGACAATCCAGTGAGACATTCCAGTGTGACAATCCAGTGAGACATTCCAGTGTGACAATCCAGTGAGACAATCCAGTGAGACATTCCAGTGTGACAATCCAGTGAGACATTCCAGTGTGATAATCCAGTGTGACAATCCAGTGTGACAATCCAGTGAGACATTCCAGTGTGACAATGCAGTGAGAGAATCTAGTCTGACAATCCAGTGAGACATTCCAATGTGACAATGCACTGAGACAATCTAGTCTGACAATCCAGTGTAACAATCCATTGAGACAATCCAGCGTGACAATCCAGTGAGAGAATCTAGTCTGACAATCCAGTGTGACAATCCAGTGAGAGAATCTAGTCTGACAATCCAGTGAGAGAATCTAGTCTGACAATCCAGTGAGAGAATCTAGTCTGACAATCCAGTGAGACATTCCAATGTGACAATCCATTGAGACAATCCAGCGTGACAATCCACTGAGAGAATCTAGTCTGACAATCCAGTGTGACAATCCAGTGAGAGAATCTAGTCTGACAATCCAGTGAGAGAATCTAGTCTGACAATCCAGTGAGAGAATCTAGTCTGACAATCCAGTGAGACATTCCAATGTGACAATCCACTGAGACAATCTAGTCTGACAATCCAGTGTGACAATCCACTGAGAGAATCTAGTCTGACAATCCAGTGTGACAATCCAGTGAGAGAATCTAGTCTGACAATCCAGTGAGAGAATCTAGTCTGACAATCCAGTGAGACATTCCAATGTGACAATCCACTGAGACAATCTAGTCTGACAATCCAGTGTAACAATCCATTGAGACAATCCAGTGTGACAATCCACTGAGAGAATCTAGTCTGACAATCCAGTGTGACAATCCAGTGAGAGAATCTAGTCTGACAATCCACTGAGACAATCCAGTGAGAGAATCTAGTCTGACAATCCAGTGAGACATTCCAATGTGACAATCCACTGAGACAATCTAGTCTGACAATCCAGTGTAACAATCCATTGAGACAATCCAGTGTGACAATCCACTGAGAGAATCTAGTCTGACAATTCAGTGTGACAATCCAGTGAGAGACTCTAGTCTGACAATCCAGTGTGACAATCCAGTGAGACATGCCAGTGTGACAATCCAGTGAGAGAATCTAGTCTGACAATCCAGTGTGACAATCCAGTGAGACATTCCAGTGTGACAATCCATTAAAACAATCTAGTCTGACAATGCAGTGTAACAATCCATTGAGACAATCCAGTGAGACAATCCACTGAGAGAATCTAGTCTGACAATCCAGTGAGACATTCCAGTTTGGCACTCCAGTGAAACAATCTAGTCTGACAATCCAGTGTGACAATGTAGTGTGACGATACAGTGATACAATCCGGTGTGACAATCCACTGAGACAATCTAGTGGAACAATCCAGTTGGACAAAATGAATGACGAGACGATTTTTCGATTCATTTTCTAAGAGATTGTCATAATGCTTCCATTTCCAGAAACGTCTCTCTCACAACCAGGCCATATCCATATGTCAGCGCATCCTTAACGAGGTCTTCGAGTCCATGACACCCTCACCCCGATTGAGAGCAGCAGACGACAGAAGTCCTACACTTGGATGTTTGAGGACGCGCCAAGAGTAAATGATCACTTCGAGGCTCTGAATCCTGGGGTGGGTTGTGATCATCAAGATTTGTTCACATAATAATTATAACTATTTAAAGGACGTCATCGCACGTTGATCGAAGGTATGCGGGCCTACAGTATCACATGACCGTAACACATTTTTCTTCGAATAGGAGTGTTATAAGTACTCGTTAGGATGTGAGAGTAGACATCATGGGCAGAAACATAAGTTATAGAAAGTCAGTTTAAAAAAGTATACACTTGAAAATTGTATTTAACAATCACAAACGTTACTGGAATGTGCCTGCACATTTCTTTAAATATGTATGAGGTCGGTGTTGAAAGTTTGTAAAATCCAAAAATGTCCATAGAACACGTGAGCAGATGGAAGTAAAAGTCCCTCGAGAATATCTGTGTACCGCTCACTTTTCATATTCCCTTCAAATACACAGAGGGGCGTTGCCCCTAACACAGATATGCCACCCAACACGTTAAATTTTGGACTGTACTTTGGGCGCTGATACAAAGGTTTTTCAGTTTGTTTGGTCCAGAATTTCAGTGTATTAGGAAACAGCCACACAGAACTTTCATCTGAGAAAATCACATTGTCCCAGTTAACATTTCTATGCTGTCAGCACCAGTTCAACCTTCTCTCCTTTTGTTCAGGTTTCATGATCGGTGATGGAATTCCTCGACTTTTCTGCCAACCCATTGCAAGCAGCTCAGTTCTAATTGTCTCCTTACAGACAACCACAGTTCCTCTATCAATCATATCAAGCCTTACGTTTTCTAAACTCCTTCGTTTGTTTTTTTAGAAACAAGAATACCAAGCCGCCTCCTGTCACCGACAGTCAATTTTCTGGGCTTACCTGCGCCTCCCTGGTGCTTAATGCCATATCCATTTGCAATATTTTTCAAAACACGATAAACAGTGGACAAAGGGATGCCTGTTCTACTTGAAATGACTTTAGCTGATCTGATGTCCTTGTTATAATACTCTAAAATCAACGTCCCCTTATCCAAATCATCCATACTGAGGATCACTGAAAATGTCATCTGCTAGTCAAGTAAACAAAGGGGGATAACTCTTCAGAAACTAATGAAAAAGGATTAATGAAGTTGTCTCTCTTGAATGAAACCAAGCATTTGATAGCAGGTCAAGGTTGTTTATACTAGAAATCCAATTAAACACATTCCTAAAATTCTCAATAAATTCTGGTCATACTAAAAGTGACGGTATTATCACCTCTCGCCAGTTCTTCAGTCAGATGTCAGTGTTAACTAACGATATTATCCCCTCTCGTCAGTTCTTCTGTATGATGTCGGTGTTAACTGATGGTATTATCCCCTCTCGCCAGTTCTTCTGTATGATGTCGGTGTTAACTAATGATATTATCCCCTCTCTCCAGTTCTTCTGTATGATGTCGGTGTTAACTAATGATATCATCTCCTCTCGCCAGTTCTTCTGTATTATGTCGGGGTTAACTAATGATATTATCCCCTCTCGCCAGTTCTTCTGTATGATGTCGGTGTTAACTAATGATATCATCTCCTCTCGCCAGTTCTTCTGTATTATGTCGGTGTTAACTAACGATATTATCCCCTCTCGCCAGTTCTTCTGTATGATGTCGGTGTTAACTAATGATATCATCTCCTCTCGCCAGTTCTTCTGTATTATGTCGGTGTTAACTAACGATATTATCCCCTCTCGCCAGTTCTTCTGTATGATGTCGGTGTTAACTAATGATATCATCTCCTCTCGCCAGTTCTTCTGTATTATGTCGGGGTTAACTAATGATATTATCCCCTCTCGCCAGTTCTTCTGTATGAGGTCGGTGTTAACTAATGATATCATCCCCTCTCTTCAGTTCTTCTGTATTATGTGGGGGTTAACTAATGATATTATCCCCTCTCGCCAGTTCTTCTGTATTATGTCCGGGTTAACATATGATATTATCCCCTCTCTCCAGTTCTTCTGTATTATGTCGGGGTTAACTAACGATATTATCCCCTCTCGCCAGTTCTTCTGTATGATGTCGGTGTTAACTAATGATATCATCTCCTCTCGCCAGTTCTTCTGTATTATGTCGGTGTTAACTAACGATATGATCCCCTCTCGCCAGTTCTTCTGTATGATGTCGGTGTTAACTAATGATATCATCTCCTCTCGCCAGTTCTTCTGTATTATGTCAGCGTTAACTAACGATATGATCTCCTCTCGCCAGTTCTTCTGTATGATGTTGGTGTTAAATAACCATATGATCTCCTCTCGCCAGTTCTTCTGTATGATGTCGGTGTTAACTAACCATATGATCTCCTCTTGCCAGTTCTTCTGTATGATGTCGGTGTTAACTAATGATATTATCTCCTCTCGCCAGTTCTTCTGTATGATGTCGGTGTTAACTAACCATATCATCTCCTCTCGCCAGTTCTTCTGTATGATGTCAGTGTTAACTAACCATATGATCTCCTCTCGCCAGTTCTTCTGTATTATGTCGGGGTTAACATATGATATTATCCCCTCTCTCCAGTTCTTCTGTATTATGTCGGGGTTAACTAATGATATTATCCCCTCTCGCCAGTTCTTCTGTATGAGGTCGGTGTTAACTAATGATATCATCTCCTCTCGCCAGTTCTTCTGTATTATGTCAGCGTTAACTAACGATATGATCTCCTCTCGCCAGTTCTTCTGTATGATGTCGGTGTTAACTAACCATATGATCTCCTCTCGCCAGTTCTTCTGTATGATGTCGGTGTTAACTAATGATATTATCTCCTCTCGCCAGTTCTTCTGTATGATGTCGGTGTTAACTAACCATATGATCTCCTCTCGCCAGTTCTTCTGTATGATGTCAGTGTTAACTAACCATATGATCTCCTCTCGCCAGTTCTTCTGTATTATGTCGGGGTTAACTAATGATATTATCCCCTCTCTCCAGTTCTTCTGTATGAGGTCGGTGTAAACTAACGATATCATCTCCTCTCTCCAGTTCTTCTGTATTATGTCGGTGTTAACTAACGATATTATCCCCTCTCGCCAGTTCTTCTGTATGAGGTCGGTGTTAACTAACGATATTATCCCCTCTCTCCAGTTCTTCTGTATTATGTCGGTGTTAACTAACGATATTATCCCCTCTCTCCAGTTCTTCTGTATGAGGTCTGTGTTAACTGACGGTATTATCCTCTACCGCCAGTTCTTCTGTATGATGTCGGTGTTAACTAACGATATCATCTCCTCTCTTCAGTTCTTCAGTATTATGTCGGTGTTAACTAACGATATCATCTCCTCTCTTCAGTTCTTCTGTATTATGTCGGTGTTAACTAACGATATCATCTCCTCTCTTCAGTTCTTCTGTATTATGTCGGTGTTAACTAACGATATCATCTCCTCTCTCCAGTTGTTCTGTATGATGTCGGTGTTAACTGACGGTATTATCCCCTCTCTCCAGTTCTTCTGTATGAGGTCCGTGTTAACTGACGGTATTATCCTCTACCGCCAGTTCTTCTGTATGAGGTCGGTGTTAACTAACGATATCATCCCCTGTCCCCAGTTCTTCTGTATGATGTCGGTGTTAACTAACGATATCATCTCCTCTCGCCAGTTCTTCTACCACAGTGATGTTGTGAGGGATCTGCTACTGTTGAACCCGGAGACAGGCCAGGACGAGTTGGCGTCTGATTCGTCCAGTGACACAGAAACAGTGCCGATACTTTCATTGGCCTCACTGAAGAAGGTAGGTGTTGTCCTCCAGTGGTAAAATGTGTGTTTTATCCCAGTCAGCAATATTGCACCTTTATCACTACGGACCAGTCACCTTTTGTACCGTTAACTTTCTGATGAAGTTTGATCAAGATGTAACTAAACTGCTCTTTTCTTTCAAAATGGTTGACATTGGTATTGATCGGTCACTGGTAATGCACAGGTGGAAATAACTTTAAAATTGCTAGTGTACTCCGGTACTTTGGCACATGTAAAATCACTTGCCCTAATACTTTTTCCACTATACCGGCCGTTTTCTTGTTGATTTTTTAAATCAACAACATAATTAATATTGGAAAGTCAACTGGACACCGGTACAGTGTGATATACAAATTTGCTCGGCCGACAGAAAAAAACACTGGACTCGGGCGTCGGGCAATGGGTTATTTCCACCCCTGTAATGCACCATGACCATATTTCTTATTTTAGAATTTGAACTGTTAATCAGTAGCATTGTTGGGTCTGTTTTAATGCACCGTATTCCACTTTGTTAGTCTAGACACTACATTTGAGTGAGTGAGTGATTTGGGGTTTTACGCCGCTTTTAGCAATATTCCAGCAATATCACGGCGGGGGACACCAGAAATGGGCTTAACACATTGTACCCATATGGGAAATCGAACCCAGGTCTTCAGAGTGACGAGCAATTGCATCGTTGCATCGAAGGGTCTTTGCTTATGAACCATGTCCAACTTTGCCCTTCTGGAGCTTCGTTCAAAGTGTTAACCTGTAACCTCCATGAGTCCTTGCTAACGAACGATGCCCACCTTTGCTCTTCTGGAGACTTCGTTCAAAGTGTTCACCCGTAACATCGATGAATCTTTGTTAATGAATGATGTCCGTCTTTACTATTCTGGGTATTTCGTTCAAACTCTTAACCCGTAACATCAATGGATCTTTGTTAATGAATGATGTCCGTCTTTACTACTTTGGGTATTTCGTTCAAACTCTTAACCCGTTACATCGATGGATCTTTGTTAATGAATGATGTCCGTCTTTGCTATTCTGGGTATTTTGTTCAAAGTTTTTACCTATAACATCGATGGATCTTAGAACCATGTTCATTTTGGAGACTTCATTCAACCTTGTAGTTGGATCAGTCCTTGTCAACGCACCATGCCCATCCTTGGTATTCCGGATACTTCATTCAAAGGCATCCATTCCTCAGCAGCCTTGAATTTTTGTTAATGCAAGTCTCCATCTATATCGGTGTAAGATCTCCAGTGAGAGTCCTCAGTATTCCAATACCATTGTCCATGCACTGAATCCTTCTTTGTATGCTAATTGTATGTATGTCTGTGTTGTGTACAGAACCTAGAAACACTGTCAGGAGATGACAAAGTCAGGAATGGTCTCCTGTACAAGTTTAGCCAGTCGGTCAACAAGATGACATTCTCCGTTCAGAGACCAGTATCTTCAGAGGGATTCTCTTTTTGGTAGGCCAGATTGTTTCTAGGAGTGAGTGAGGGAGTGTGTGTGGTCAGTGGGTGAAGTTACTATATACTTTACAATAAATACTACTCACAAAAGGTTTAGATCACCAGATCTGTATAAGTCCGCATGCACAGTCAATCCTTACAATGAAATTATGTAATTAGGCTAGATGCTTGCTTCAACCTTGTTAGAATTGGTCTTCAGCACCCATGCATGTTGTAAGAGGCGACTAATGGGATCGGGTGGTCAGGTTGACACGTATAATCGTATCCCATCTGCGGAAAGATTGGTGCTCATGATATTGATCACTGGATTATATGGTCCAGGCCCGATCATTTTCAGACCAGGAATATTGCCGAGAGCGGCGTTAACAAACAAACAAACAAACAAGATGATTCTTCATGCTTCAGCTGCAATAACAGTCATGTTCTTGAATTTCCAAAGATATATAATTTTTAAGGGGAGATAATAATAATAATAATAATAATAATAATAATAATAATCATTAAATTTTCTATCCCTTTTGACACCAATGTGATTGGCAAGATTCAGGAAAAGCATGATAAATATGCGGACCTCGCCTTTGAAATGTCTCGCTTGCATCCCAAGCACACTGTCGCCAGGCTCCCCATTGTTCTCGGTACCCTTGGGTTGGTACCTCCTGATCTCTTGGTGCAGATCAGGAGAGTGCCCGGGTTCTCCACCGGGAGCACAGCCCTTCTGACACTCTGGGTAATGCAGAAGGCTGCAGTGTTGGGGAGCCTTCACATTCTCCGGAAAGTTCTTGGTGGGTTCGACTAGGCAGCGTTTCCTGGGAGAAGTCCCATTCGCTGTCTGGGCTGCGTGTAAAGGGGGCAAGGGCCCTGAGCTGATGATGAGCCTTACCAGCCTGACTGTGCCAGGATCACCCGAACCCTCTCTGCTGCATACTATCTTTAATCTGTAAAACATAATAATAATAATAATAATTTATATCATTGAATTTTCTGTCCCTTTTGACACCAATGTGATTGGCAAGATTAAGGAAAAGCATGATAAATATGCGGACCTCGCCTTTGAAATGTCTCGCTTGCATCCCGAGTACACTGTCGTCAGGCTCCCCATTGTTCTCGGTGCCCTTGGTTTGGTACCTCCTGATCTCTTGGCGCAGATCAGGAGAGTGCCTGGGTTCTCCACCGGGAGTACAGCCCTTCTGACACTCTGGGTAATGCAGAAGGCTGCAGTGTTGGGGAGCCTTCATATTCTCCGGAAAGTTCTTGGTGGGTTCGACTAGGCAGCGTTTCCTGGGAGAAGTCCCATTCGCTGTCTGGGCTGTGTGTAGAGGGGGCAAGGGCCCTGAGCTGATGATGAGCCTTACCAGCCTGACTGTGCCAGGATCACCCGAACCCTCTCTGCTGCATACAATTTTTAATCTGTAAAACATAATAATAAATGGATATTTCTTATGCGCCATAGTCCATTCCAGGGCATGCTCAAAGCGCTACATATAAAAAGAGTCACTAGAGTTCAAGAGGAAGATATGACAATTCGTCAAAATGACCATGAGAATATTTCGCAGTTATAGGTTGTAGACTTTTTTGAAGAGGAACGTTTTGAGTCCCGATTTGAATGCTTCTAAGGATGAAGCATTTTTTATGGCGTAAATTCTGCTACGCTTTACACTGCATCATGTTCCATTTCAGCCGCTGCCTATGGAGTATGACAATAGATGACCTCGTCACGCGTTCCCTCCGCCTCAGAGACACGCTTGGAATATCATCAGAGACCAACATGCCGGAAGGTACTTACTCAGGGTTGTCACATACTGTGTGCAGACCATTTCTGGTATCCCCGACGTGATATTGTTGGATTATTGCCCCGATAAACCTCACCCACCCACTCAGAAGGACTCGGGGGGGTACCAGAGAAGTATCCATCCCTTTACCAGGAGTGCTTCTCCCCACGGGTTTGGAAGAGGAAGGATACATCCTGAGTTTTTCTTTCGTCAGAATGTATACACCCCCTGGTTGTCTTGCCTCATGGGTGGATGTATCCCATTACCTCACTCCTGGCTTCCATTTGGTAAAAAGGGTAGAAAAGGTCCCAATACAACACTCCTGGCTTCTTTTGGGGAAATTAGGGTTGAAATGCTCCCAATAACTCTTGCCTGTCTTACGTTTGATGATACGGGTAGAAAATGTCCCAATACCTACCGTCTGTTCTGTTTTGGGTAATAAGGGTAGAAAGCGTCCCAGTAACTTACGTCTGTTCTTTGGGTAATAAGGGTACAAAAAGGCCCAAGTAATTTAAGGCCGGGGTTCAAACCCATACACAGATGGGGTGCGGCCTCCTTGCCTTGTCAAAGCTGTCTTTAGATGCCAAGCAAAGTAGTATTCAAGTGCAATCTATTAAATATCACAAAACTGACTCACAGGTTCAGGCTGATGTTAAGTCATAGTATAAAGAAGTATGTTGTGAAGACTCACAGCACACAGTATGGATGCAGAGAGTCTACAAAACATACATTTTTAATATATATTTCTTATTTTCAAATCCAGATTTGAATTTCCCACTGTGTCAGTCAGGTGGCCAGAGGAGGTGCGTTTCCATAGAAACAAGCCTTGGAGTGGGGAAATGTTTCATTCAGGGTTTCATATTTCAGGCAGGCTGGGAAAATGTCTTCCTTTGGGGCAGAGTAGCTCAAGCTATTCTTCATTTTTTTCTCCATATATGTGTGTTTTATATCTGTTTGTAGTGATGGTCTCTCGCATCAAGGGTTTATCTAAGGTTATCAAGGGGAGAAGAAAGACACAGCCTCAAATACCAACAGAGGTGAGTCGTCAGTTGCATTTCAGTACCATAAAAGACCCGTGAAGATGCGGGTTAGAATTGGTCTTCAGCAACCCAAGCCTGTCTAGCTGGATCGGGTCAGGCTCGCTGACTTGGTTGACACGTGTCATCGTATCCCATTTGCGTAGATCGATGCGCATGATGTTGATCACTGGATTGTCTGGTCATACTATTCCAGTTGTGTAGATCTGTTCCTGCTGTTGATCACTGGATTCCATCAGCGAGCCTGACCACCCGATCCCGTTAGTCGCCTCTTACGACAAGCATGGGTTTAAAATCTTAACGAATCGCCTAAACCTCGCAAAAAATCCCAAATCATGATGTAACACGAAATGCACGTCTATACAGACGGTATAAAACAGTTTACGCGACACGTAAGCGACACAGTAGTAAACACACACAAAAGATATGCCAAGTTTGAGGCAAATCGAAAGAGAGAGAGAGAGAGAGCTGTGGGAATGGCCCAACAAGGAGCTAACCACACCGTCATTGCAAAACCTTCGGCTGAACCCGAGCTTCTGTCATCAGATGGAACCACTAAGACAAACAGGCAATACGTCAGACAGTTCTAGGTGTGGTGGACCAAGTGTGACAACTCCCGGTGATGATCGCCACATCCAGACAATTCATCTGAGAAATCGTTTTGTATTGTCGACGT